ACCAGGACCCTCCCCGGAACGGCTCCGGACCACCCCAAACCGACCCCCGAACCCTCTCGGGGCTCACCAGGACCCTCCGCCACCCCCAAACCCCCCCGGACCCCACAAATCCGACCCCCGAACCCTCCCGGGGCTCACCAGGACCCTCCGCCAGGCCGTGTACTCGCCCAGGGCCAGCGCGATGTAGACGAAGACCAGCAGGTAACTGATGGCGAACACCAGGATGTCCTCCCCGCTCGTGCGGTTGAGCTCGTCCTCCAGAGAGCGCTGAGGGGACAGCGACAGCGACAGCGACAGCTGAGGGGGCACAGGGACCGGGGCGGCACCAGGAGCACGGGGACACGGGGACATTGGGGGACAGGGGGACATGGAGAGGACACGGGGACATGGAGGGGACAGGGACACCGGAGACACGGGGACACTGGGGACACGGGGACATTGAGGGACATTGGGGACACAGGGACATGGAGGGAACACGGGGACACGGGGAACACCGGGGACATTGGGGACACGGGGACATTGGGGGACAGGGACAAGGAGGGAACACGGGGACATTTCGGACAAGGGGACATGGAGGGGACACGGGGACATGGAGAGGACACGGGGACATGGAAGGCACAGAAGGGACACGGGGACACTGGGGGACACAGAGGGGACGTAGGGACCTGGAGGAGACACGGTGGCACCAGGGACAAGGGGACATGGAGGGGACACGGGGAGCACTGGGGACGTTGGGTGACAGGAACATGGGGGACACAGGGACATGGAGGGGACAGGGACACTGGGGACACAGGGACATTGGGGGACAGGGACATGGAGGGAACACGGGGGGCACGGGGACATTGGGGGACACGGAGGGCACGGAAGGGACATGGGGACATTGGGGGACACGGGGACATGGAGAGGACACGGGGACACGGAGGGGACACGGGGACCTGGGGGCACGGAAGGGACACGGAGGGCACAGAGGGGACACGGAGGGGACACAGGTGACAGCAGGGGCCGCACCTCGGCCATGAAGGTGACCGAGAGGTTGTGGCCGTGCTGGCGCTGGAAGTCGCGCACCACCTGGAGGAAGCGGCGCTCCCAGCTCAGCGCCCACTCGAGGCGCGGGTCCCCCCGCGGGAAGTTGTTCAGCGAGTAGGTGACGATCAGCGCCTCGGCCTCCGTGTGCTCCGACTCTGCGGGGACACTTGTGTCACGGCGCGGGGACACGGCGGGGACCCCCGGGCCAGCCCCGAGCCCCCCGTACCGCGGTAGCCGCCCAGGGTGATGTAGGGGAACACGGGCCCGCCGTACTCGGCCATGCAGCTCAGCTCCAGCGCCGTGATGTCCTTGAACGAGAGCGGGGAGCTGGTGGCGACAGGGCCGGGGGCGTCAGCGGGGGCTGTGCCCGCCCGGCCCCACGCCCGGCACGGGGGACACCCCAGAGCCACGGCCTGGCACCCCACGGGGACAGGGGACACCCCAGAGCCGCGGCCTGGCACCCCATGGCACGGGGGACACACGGGGGACACCCCAGAGCCACGGTGATGGGGACACGTGGGGGACACCACAGCCCCATGGTGATGGGGACACGTGGGGGACACCCCAGAGCCACAGCCTGGCACCCCACGGGGACAGGGGGACACGCGGGTGACACCCCAGCCCCAGGGTGACAGGGGACACACGGGGATGACATGCCAGAGCCACAGCCCCACAGTGATGGGGACACGCGGGTGACATCCCAGCCCCACAGCCCCACGGTGACAGGGGACACACGAGTGACACCCCAGCCCCACAGTGATGGGGACACGCGGGTGACATCCCAGCCCCACAGCCCCACGGTGACAGGGGACACACGAGTGACACCCCAGCCCCACAGTGATGGGGACACACGAGTGACACCCCAGCCCCACAACCGCGCCCTCCACGGGCCCCGGCGGAGCCCCCCGCGCCCCCCGCGCCCCCCGCGCCCCCCGCACCCACTTGGCGCAGTAGATGAGGTGATCGTGCCAGTCCACCGTGCCCTGCTCCTTGCCGTCCTCCTCGCGGGCGGTGAGCTCCAGGCGGCTGCGGTTGTTCTGGAAGTACTGCGTGACGCTGGACACGGCGCAGTCCCCCACGCCGGGCTGCCCGGGGTTCAGCGGCGCGTAGCACACATCCTGCAGGCTCACGTTCCTGCCCGAGCCCGCTGCCCAGGCCGTGGTGGCCGCCAGCGTCTCCTGCAGCTCCAGCAGCGCCCGCAGCACGTCCTCGGCCAGGACCCCGCTGAAATTCTTGGAGCCGAACAGCACCGAGTCGTAGGTGAGGCCGGGGCGCCCCGGCGCCGTCACGATCACCTGGTTGGTGCGCAGGAAGGGCCCGAAGTGGCGGTCGTGGAACTCCTTCTCCTGCCGAGCGCGGCTCTCCGGCGCCGACCACAGCTCCACGGGGTCCGTGGTGAGCCGCAGGGTCACCAGCCCGGCCGAGAGCCCTCCGGCCACCGCCACGGCCACGGCCAGCACCAGCCCGGGCCGCGAGGCCACGGCGGTGCCCCAGCAGCGGAACGCCCGCTCCAGGGCTCGCTGCCAGCCGCCCCCCGCCCGCGCCTTGGGCGCCGGTTCGGCCGCGCCCCGGAGGCACAGCGCGGCCGCCAGGAAAGCCAGGGCGAGCAGGGCGAAGAGCAGGAGGCAGATGAACAGCACCCCATCGATCCGGCCCACGCGGAACGGCGGCGGCTCCGCGGGCGGCACCACGGGCGGACAGGCCAGGGCGCAGTCCTGGCACGAACACGGCTCCTGCCCGGCGCCCGGAGCTTGGTCGCAGCGCCACGCGGGCGCGTCCAGCGGCACGATGCCCCGGCCGGGCTCGGAGCCGTCGGGCAGCAGGACGAATTCGATCTGCAGAGGCGCCAGCCCGTTGCTCTTGTCGCCCTGGAAGTCCAACCAGCGCTGCGCCGTGCACAGCTCCGCGCCGTAGCGGCCGCACATGGTGGCGATGGCGAAGCCGCCGGTGGCCGGCAGCCGCACGCCCCGGCACGAAGCGAAGGCGGCCTCGGCGTAGCGGCGGCTGTAGAAAACGCGGTACTCCAGCACGGCCAGGGCCCCCGGCTCCGCGGGGTACTCGGCCACGCGGGTGACGTTGGTGAACACGCTCTGGTCCGGGCTGCAGATGTTGTGGCAGTAGAGGTTGGCGAAGTTGCGGGCGCACGCCGGACACCGCGCCAGGACCGTGCTCGACACCCCGACGCTGAAGCGGAGCGCGCTCAGCTGGCTGTAGCTGCAGCACACCCGCGTGGTGGCATTGTCGCGGACCAGCTCGGGACACACCGAGCGCAGCAGCGACAGCAGCGGCCCCGAGGCCACCCGGGCCCGGCTGTTGGACAGGCAGGGCACCTTGGAGGGCAGCAGCGACACGTTCACCTCGGGGTTGAGGCCGCACTCGCCGTAAAAGGCGCAGAAACCCGGCTGGTGAACGGGGGTGAACGACGGAGAGACCTGCGGGGACAGGGACAGGGATGGGACAGGGGGATGGGGACACAGGGACAGGGATGGGGACACAGGGACAGGGACAGGGATGGGGACAGGGATGGGAACAGGGATGGGGGGACAGGGATGGGAACAGGGATGGGGACAGGGACAGGGGGGACAGGAACAGGGATGGGACAGGGACAGGGA